ACTACCATTTGTGATATGAACGGACCATTTCCAGATCCTTAACTTAATCCACCAATATTGGGGTTTACAGGGTTAAAATGTTAAGGGGAAGGATGTCCTAAAGGAACTCTGCAGAGTCTTGCTGACTCCACTCCCTACTCCAGCTTTCTGGACTCCACCCCCTACTCCAGGGATTGGAAACTACAACTCCCAGCAGTACCAGGGAAAGAACTGCGAGGACCCCAGGGAGGAGCTAAGCAGGCATTCTGGGACTTTGGGGGATAAATAGGGCACCATTTCCTATTGCTTTCTCGCTGGCAAAACAGCCTTCAGTTAGTTTGTTACCAGAGCTTCAAGTCAGCTGAGCTGGTAAGCTATTCCAGTTACTTTGTATCCCTCTCTCTTTCCCTGGGTTGTTTCCCGTTCTTTCCACCTTTTGTTAGTGTTTTGTCCCAACTTCTGTGACCACCGGCAAGAAAGAAAGGCCGGAGGGTGACCACCAGCAAGAAAGAAAGGCCGGAGGCAGAAAGGCTGAGCAAGCAGAGTTTATTGCTCCAGGACGGCAGCTGAGACGAAGCCCCTAGAGTGGGGTCCGCAGCTACTGCCAACTCAATAAGGGGGGAAGGTTCTCTTATATAGATTCTATGTTCACATTCCAAAGGGGTGACTCATCACTATGTCCCTTGATGTAAGGCCCAGTTTGTTATCACCTTTATCTAGTTCCATTGAGGATGCAAGATCTCGTTAATTGGATGCATGGCCAGTTTATTACCCCCATATCACCTTTGGATGCAAGGCCTGATTTATTACTGCCCTTATCTAGTCCCTCAGTAAATCTCTCATTTGGTCACTTCCAACAGTTGGAAACCCATTTTGACCCTTTTGTGTGTGTCTACAGTACACTGAATTTTAAGCATGTGGGTGAGGCCCCATAGACAGGTGGCCCAGTTCACACTGGGGTGCCCTGTAACAAAAAGAGCTCAGTAACTTCCTCTCTTGGAATAAGGATGGCAAGTTTTAAATATATAAGGGGAAACTGAGGAGTTGCCATGGAAACTGGGCCCCAGTTGGTTGATAAGGGAACCAAGTGACTGTTATTGAAACAGGGTCATAAAGCCCACCTGTGGCTACTAAAAGCTGATGTAAATTCTAAAGGAATACAGGGATTAATCATGTGACATTCCAGTAGATAAACAACCTGCATAGACCCTGGGGCCTAAATCTTAGAAAGCCCACAAGTTCAGGGCATAAAAATGCTCCAAAATTCCTCTCTCTCTCCCCCTTCAACTCTTTGCGGGAAATTCTACAAATCCATCTTTACTACTTTCCATACTGCTTTTGGTGAATTCTTTCACCCCTGCTACCTTGGCATCCCGTCATGGTCCATTTTTCCCCCCAGCAAATCCCTTCTGCCATAAAAGTTAACATTCACAGGTTCTAGGTATTAAGATGTAGACATATTTGGGAAACCATTATCCAGCCCTACCATAGGAAGGACGGTGAGGATCTGTGTGTCTTTGTGTTCACAGAAATCAGCGTAGTCACGAAGAGAAGGGAATGACAGTGATTACCTACAGGGGTTGGGATGTGGAGTGAAGGGAAACAGACCCAGGTCTTTCCAATTTATCTGCATTATTCTGTATTTTGAGCTTTGAGTCAGGCAGATATATCACTTCTGATAAAATGTTAACATTGAAAAGTAAAAGCAATAGAAAAAAACTTTTAAACAATTTTTGGCTGTTGAACTGTTAAGTTTGAATATGTGGCAGACTGAACTGTCACGGTGCCCTCACTCCTTGCTGAGTAGGAGCTTTGGGAGATTTGATTAGATAAGGGCTGCAGTAAGGCTACCACTGGACCACAAAACCCAGCACCATGACCAGAAATACCAGTCCAGCTCCAGGAATGCAGAAGCAGTGTTAGGACATTGTGTGTCAAAAGCCAGTGCCCAACCAGACTGCCCAGCACATAATTGGTGCAAAAGGGCACCCCAATTAAGAAAGCCCACAAGAGAAATATAAAAGAGAAGCGCAAATCCTTCCTCTTGCACAGATGTATATCTTCATCTCGTTCCCTGCTCCATTGCAGGGTGTTTCTATAAATCCACATTTTCTGTCCTCCCCTTGTGTCTGGTAAAGCCTTTTACCCCTGTGACTCTGGCTTCACCCTATTATTACATCACCACATAAATCACTAGGAACTTTGAATCACAGTGGAACAAGGCAATGGGGGAGCTATTGCTATCCAAGGAAGGACAGTGCTCAAGAGGACAGGTCACTGTGGATTTTCACCTGCACGCATAATTGCAAGACCAGTCAGGCTCAGAGAACAGTAGCAATGGGGTTTATTTAACAAACAGGGGAAATACAGAGCTACTAGGGGCACCTGTGACCTGCTATGTCACCCTTGATAGTGTCCAAAGTGTCCAGAACTGTCCAGTTCCAAACAAAAAGGCTGCTGATCGTAGATGGCACTGTCTCACCAACAAAGACCTAGAGTCATTGGCAGCCAGAGGTACTCACAGGCAGGAGCCAATAAGAGGCTGCAGCAGCTACAGCCACAGTCTGAAGGTTGGGATGGACTGCACCAGACGCTGGACCAGACAACAGCAAAGGCAGCAGCCCCAAGGTGTTGCAGGACCATCTGTTAAGCAGCAATTTGAGATATGAAGTCCAGGGCCCTTGGTGCACTTTCTAGGCAGTGGCTGGGACAAGACCAGAAGCAAGTTCAGCCTCTGGAGCTGCAAAAACCCTTGG